TATATATATTAATATAAATGGTAAATATACAAGAGACCATTTTCTTAAAAATGCTAAACAAAAAAATGTAAAATAAATTTTATAAATCTAAGGGGAGTATTTTGAGTTCAAATATTAATACATGAGTAAAAACATCAAAAAGCAGTGAACTGTTAAAAACAGGATTTGTTTTTTTAGTTTGACCAGGAGCAGGGGCCGAGTTCTCTGATAGGCTGAGGCATTTCATCTCTCTGAGCTGGACTACAGCTGATTCCTGTCTCAAGCTGTGTGTACTTGTTATACAACTTCTTACATCACAGCGTAGATGGATTATCTTGATGTGTCCAATATGACTTGGAAGTTGTCATTTCATGAACACAGATTTAAAGGATCAGACCAATTTAGAGAATTTAGTTTACCTCCACATTATCACAACAGCAGGAAGTAATAACTAATGGTCATATTGTGGGCATCACCTGACAGCATCACAATATTGAGTTTAGAAATGTTTATAATTCCTTGATGAGTATAAAATCAGTGCTGWTTTTCCCACTCTGATTCACATTTCCTAACTGTTTCAAACAGCTTTGTGCTGGAGGTGATGTAAATCATAATTCCTGGTCTGTGCCCTTCAACAACATATTAACAGGAGTCCATCATCTTGGTGAGCTGTCAGATGAGCTCTGTGGGATAATGTAGCACTGCCTGATTCCTATGGTGAAAACACAACCAGCAGACATCCTGGTTTTTCTAGCAGCACACAAAAAAAAAATCTCAGCCCTTCTGTCTCCTTCAAACAGTGCCGGTGCAGATTGACAGAACAGTGTGTGTGAAGGGATTATATCTGATACACATGTAGAACTGCTGGGATTTGGTGGCTTTTTTGTAAATAATATTTTATACAATCACGTAGAATTTTATCAAAAAGACACGTTGAAAATCTGGGGTGAAGAAAGAACAAAATTACAAGCAATCACCAACTCTCCAAAACAAGCAGGTAAAAAAAGGATGAACTTGAAGAACAGGGTAATGGATGGATGGCTTTTTTCCCTCCTCCTCCTCCTCCACGCTCCTTTTGCTAGGTAAAAGCTCTATCTCTTCTGTCCCTCTGAAACACTACTTGACCTTTCCCCATCTCTCTTCACACCTGACTGAATCTTGAAATTGGTCCAGGTCTTTCTTTTCTGTGACCCTTAAAAACTCAGGAGAAAGCTGTGTCGCCTGGATTGGATAAAAGCCAGAGTTGTTTTCTCCATCCCAATTTCCATCCTGCTTGTCAAATTTCCGCTCTGCCTTTTTTTTTTCTTAKCCAAAACGATCTTGCACCTTTTCTATTAGCTCTGATGCTTTTGTCTTGTCTAAAGTTCATACTCACAGCTGCTGAATAAATCCACYACAGCTTCTCCAGTAACTCACTCTCGTTTTTCTAAACTCAACTCTGGCTGTCCAGTCTCACATCTGAGGCCAAGGCACACATGCACGCACACTCAAAACTGGCACACAGATGCTAACAGGGAGCCCTGGGGGCTTGGCTGGTTTGCTGTCCAGCAGGCTGCCTGTCCTGACGGGGGTTTAAAGCCCCGCTGCTAACTGATTAGCTCCGGCAACATTTGAATGGAGGGAGCGCATGAGAGGAAACAGGAGTTTAGCATCGTTTAAGCTGTCTTTAGTCCCTCTTGTACAGAATCAGAGGAAATAATTTAAAGAGAAAGGAGTGAACAGAGGGAAAGAGAAAGAAAAGACTTTTGATGAGATGTTTTGAAGTGAGACACAAATAGCAGAATGCATTCAGAAAGAGAGGACAGGTTAGTGTGACAGGCTTGCAGTGATCACCACATTATGAGCCGTGTGTGAACAATGCTTCAGACTCCCTCAGTTTGGAGAATTTACCACATAAAAGGCAGAGGTAAGCTATATGTATCCTGCTGCCTGTGCCTTATCTTATACAGCAGCTGTGACAGTGTGTGTGTGTGTWTCTGAGACGCTTCGATTGTCAAACCTCAGTCCTGCTATTGCTTCAAAATGTGTGCATTGGTGTTAGTGTCTGTGTGATAATTTCACCTTGAGGAACTTGTAAAGCAGGAAGGTGAACCAGTTGGTGAGCATCTTCTCAGCGACAGACTCCGTCCTGGAGGAGAGGCAAAAAACAAAAACAAAACAACAGATTGATTAAAAAAACAGAGGCTAAACCTCTGCACAAAACACTTGCTTTTAATCATAAAACAAAACTTTGATCAAGGGGTTAAAAAGTGTTCAACTCATGCACACACATCAGAGATCCAGCAGGTCATCATCAATCACAAGGTTATACTTCAAACACTTCTGCTTTTTTTTTAAGAACAAACCTCTGCATTTTTTTTTTACAATTTCACCTCATCCCAGCCTTTTGGGCAAACCTACTCATCTTCATAAAAAAACCCAGCAATTAGTGTAATACAGTAACATCTCGTGTTGATTGTGAACCTGCTAAGTAATGAGCGGAACTATTTTTGCATGTGCATGTTTTAAGCAAACGTGTGATCAACAATGAAATGAAATGAAAATAAAGCAATTAAATAACATTGTAATTAACAGACTTGTTGTATCTAATTTGTTCGACAACTGAGATGCTAACAGTCAGGATAACAGGAAGGACAAAAATAAACAAAAAAATCCTATCCTTTCTTCACATATTAGAAAAACATTCACTTCATTTTCCTTTTCTCAGAGTAGTTGGGGTGCACAGGTGATACTGAGTTGTTTAATGTGACACAATCCTCAACTTTCAGACAAGAAAGACGCCTACACTTCTACATGTTGTGTTTGATGTGTGCTAACTTTTCTTACAGCGGTCAGAAAACATTCAGATGAAAGATGAACCAGTAGAAAATGCAGACAACGAACCTGGACAGAACTCGCTTTAGGACATAATTTCATAGTTTATCATTCAGAAGGTCTACAATCAAGGACCTACAGTGGACTTTAATCCTTTGTAAACATGTATAACAGGAAGAAGTTGGTTGATGGTCTCCTGGTTGAACACAAATATGAGTTTTAAATCTGTTCATTGTTATCTTTATAGATTTAAAACTCATACTTGTGTTCAACCAGAAATAGTCTTTTCATTGTTACTTTTATAGACTATTTCTCAGTTTTAGGGTCTGTGTGGGTTGAGGGAAAAATATCAGGATTTAAAGGTTAGGAGCTATTAAAGGAGCGACTGATAAATTCACTATAAATAAAAAGTGATAATACTGCTGAATGTATCCAACTGTGTCCCACAGGACATGTTTACAACACGGTAAAATAAACTCTAAAACCAGAAGGTATTTTTTCCCAATAAAATGTGTTTATTACAATTTATTTTACTTAAACATTGCAAAGAAATTAAATACCATCTGTAATACAAAAAATACTATTAAATGTTAAGCAGACACATATAGTGCCAGTGTTTTGTTCAAATAAAGGCGGTACTTTAATAAATGTCTGCACACAAATTATGACCCTTTAGGCTATTTCCACAGCTGCTGTGGATTACTGGGAACACAAAACATCTCCTCTCTGTAGAGTTAAAAACAAACAGGCAGGTCTTCTAAGCTACTGATAACTTTATATTTGTGTCTGTTAGCAAGAAGCAATAACAAAACATGTGACTTCTTCACCTGTGACTAACCTAATCTTGGTCTGATTGCAAACACTGACCCCTGATGTCTGCATGGTGATGGTTCAGTACAAACACAGTACATGTACGTTTACATCCCTTAGACAAAATTAAAACTAACTGAATGCAAAAGCAAACTTTCACCAAAGAGAGTGTGGATTCACCGAGAGGAAAACCATCAAGTCTTTTTCTACACGTACGTTCTAAAAATAAAAATGTCAGTTGAGTAAGGAAGTCCTAACCGGAGTGAAGCGTTTTAACAAGTCTTGCTCAGATTACTGCCAACTCTCATAACTAGTGTCGTTAGCAGGGACAGTGTGTTGTGACTGCATGCCCCAAGAGGGGATTGGAACAGACTTCACACGTGCACACTGTCCGAGAGTCATTTTTTGATTAGATTTTTTAATTAAATATCTTCCCAAGGAGTTGGAAAAGAGAGAGGGAGAAAAGAAAAAGTAGTTTTTATCATTAAATTTCTAATTCCAATTTATTTGGAGACAGGCCATTTCACTAATTGTGCCTTTCTTTAACTATGTGTATCGTTCAGCAGCAGCTCATTGTGCTTCTCTTTTCACCCCGTCTAGTTTCTCACCATATTGGACTCTTCTACTGTGCAACAGCTTTTCTTATTTTTCTCCAACTCCTCTTGTGTGTTTCTCCCCCATCAGTCTCCCTCTAGCCTAACTTTCCCTGTAGACATCTTGCCTTCTGTTTTTGTCAATCACCACTTCCCTTCCTCCCTGGAGCTCCATCCACCTTTCTCTCACTGCATTTTCCTTTTTCACCCCTCATATTTTTTTTCTCCTCATTGCTCATTTTTCTCGTCTCCCTAACCAAACCCATGTTCGCTCTATTCTTCACACCTGCTCTGTTCCTGCTTCTTCCTCTAACCACCTTTCTCACAGCGAGTGCCTGAGAGGGGATGGGGCGGCCTGTCTCACGGCAGCTCTGGTGGGAGTGCATGTGTGCTCAGGGGTGTAATCCTCTCTGACAGGGACAGTGGTTGAGGAACAGACAAGGTAAAGTCACATAGTCTTGAAAAGCCAGCGTCACTGTCCTCTCCTTTAGAAAAAGCTATTATCTATCATTTTCTTATGGTTTTACTAAGTTTTAACTATGACAAAAGTTTGCATGTTTGTAATCAATTCAAAGGAAACAAGCTGAGCCCACAAACAGGGAGGTGTCTCAAGAAAAAGCTAGAACTCGCACACATCAACAATCGGTTTAAAGTGACATGGTTTGTGCAAAGACTGGATCAYTTTGAACCCCTCTCCCACCCTCTTAGCTTTGCTGCTTTCCGTACCTCCTGAGTAAAAGCTTCGGGTGGTTCTTGCTCTCCAGGTTTTTGTCGATGAGATCAGACAGGAGCTGTTTGAGGACGCCTGTGGCATACTCCATCTCCCCCTGCAGTGCCGTCATGATGAGGGAGGCCACGTTGCCTCGGTCTCGCATGGAGAAAGAGCGCTGGGCTTCCAGCGTGCGAATGAAGGTCAACAAGAAGTGCTTTTTGGTCAGCAGCTGGCCGAACAACGTCAGGGACTTTTCCACGTTTGCAGGGACCTGGATGGAAGGGGTCATAGGGGATAAGGGAGGGGAATGGGGTGAAGAGATGGTAGGAAAATTCAACAAAAGGTAAGAAAAGCAGCAGTTTGATAAACATTATTAAAAAGACAGGAAGAAAGAAATAGAAGGTGATGCAAATGATTCAAGTTTTTAGGTGGGTGAAATGAGGACAGTGATGTGAAGAAGAAAGAGAAGTAAAGATAGAAAGAATATATTAAAAAAACAAAAGAAGGGATAACAGATGTGGAGAAAGATGGGAAGGAAAAATATTTGAGTTACAGTTGTAAAAATCATACAATATAAACACAATCATGTGTAAAAATGGGGCAGAACCAAACAAAAAAAGAGCTGAAAAGAACACGTTCAAAAATATACATTATATGCAATTTGTTCGACTACATAAAGAGAAATCCATGTCAGTTCAGCCCTCATATAAGTCTTTGCAACAAGCTTTGTACACTTTCCTTCCAACCCATTGCTGTGTCATTCTGCTCTCCCTACATCCGTCCCCCTTTTCTCTGCTCTCTCTGAGCAACAAGCAGGCCTCCCTTTAAGAGAGCGAGAAACGCAGATTTGAAGTGAGAATTTGAGCTTTGCGCTGTAATAAGAAATTGATCTGCCTGCTAGTGCACCACTGTGGCCTGTGATTGCCTGGGCCATACAAATGAAAATCCAATGTTGCGCTGCTCCATCCCTTTGGAATACAGCTGATGGCACAAGCAGATAGAAAATGTCTTTAAAACCTGTTCCTGCAGCAGCAACCCTACAAACACACCCTCTGAGGACAACTCTGCATTTTACATGTGATGGATAAGCAACTCTAAAGTAGTGGAACCCAAAACTGAGGTACCTATTTAATGGAGATACAAAGGTTTTCTGCAAAGAGGTTCTTAAAATTATTTGCACATGTACAAAATAACACAATTACCGGATTACTAAATGTCTTGGGAAATATTTAAGTGCATCTGCAGCTGCTGGTGCACAAAAAGGTGCTTTTGACATGTGGATTTTACATAATAGCAGCTTTTTATTGATGTTTATATTCTATCAAAGGAATCACAAGCTTCAAGGACATAAAATAAATGTATGACAATGAGCTCACCTCTCTTTCAGATGGTTTATTGTCAAAGGAATATTTGCAAGTGATAATATGGAAAAAAAAAGTTGTGGTTGTAAAATGACAGTTTGGCAGGGTTTAGTCAGGTTCATCTGCTGTTTAGCAGCCATCAGCAGCATTGCAAAGTGTGAAACATGCTGTCACAAACATCCCACCTGATATCTCATCCCAGGATACAGATATGCGATAGTGAGAAAGCATTTCCAGAATACTGGGCTGAAGGTAAACGTGCAAGCTGTACAGGTTTCCATATGGTTTACAATTATATTGGTAATATATGGTTCTCTTATATGAAAAAAGCAACATTAGATTAGAAAGTGTTTTACTGAATGTGTGAATATTTTATTTTGAGGTTCCTCAAACAAGCTCAATCCTGTGGAGTCACTTATTACACTTACTGTAACCTTGTTTTATTTTATTTTATTTTAGATTTTTGCTGCTATAGGAATTAGTGTTTTAGCAAACGATTATTTTCTAATCGATTAATCTAACGATTATTTTTTTGAGTAATCGATTATTCTAACAACAAATCRATAAGTTATTCTGATGTGAGTGCACTGGATATTTAAAATGTTTTCATCAAATTAACAAGAACAGTTCTTTAATATTGTAATATTTTCTGTAATAGTTTTTTCATGGACACAAAATATGCACTCTAGAGTCAATTCTTTAACAAAAAAAAAGCTTAAAAGATTCAACATCAATATAAAATCTTAACCAAAGCATATAAAATTCAAGTAAAAGAAATATAGTGCAAGATGTTAACAATCTAACAAATGAACTAAATCATGCAAAATTCAAGTCACTCTGGAAAAACTATAATAAACATTTATTTATTATTTTTTATTTACTATATTTCTCAATATATAAAATTAACAACTATCAAGACAACATCCAACTCTTTGTATTGTAACATCAGTTGTGTAACTTATTTCTTTAAGGTGAAAACTCTTGAAAACAACAAGACTGTTTTGTCTTATTGCACAAATTAATATCCAGCTCCACGTGTTTCTATTGATGTCATTTCCCCACTAGAAAAATGTGTGATGGAGGTCCATGGAAGGCAAATAWGTTTAAATCAAATAAACAAAAGAGGATGCAGTTAAAATAAATCAAAGGTATTTAAGCTACGTTTTGAACATCCAGAACACGTCCAACACTTGTTGGCTGCTTGTGCTCTTTAGGTCAGACGTGTGTCGGGAAGCTCCTCTGTTGTTTGAGACGCTGGGGAAACCGTCTGATGGGGGAACTGTCTGATGGGGGAACGCGGCTCAACCTAACACCGGTCTCTGTTTAATGGTGGATGAAATAAAGAAAGTGGTGGTACTTTATTTTGAGCAAGTGAACGTCATGTTCACAAGATAATTAATCCACCAGATAATTCAGAGGCGGTCTGTTCGGTAAATTTTACTCCAGGAGCTGCGAGGCTTGTTTTCAAGCTTCAGACTGAACTGAAGCAGTAGCTGCTGACGTCATTACGCTCTTGCACGATGCTGCGTTCAGGACAAACATGGAAAACTCACCACTCTTATGCCAATACGGTCGTAATGATGCATTTACGTACCGAAATGGAATTGCATGAACATTCACGTGGTGGTTATGTAAAACAGCGAATCGATAATAAAAAATCTGGTCGACAAATTTACATAATCGACGTCATTGATTATTTCAACTAATCGGTGCAGCCCTAATAGGAATATAAGTATTTATTTTTATTTACGGGATTTATCATCTGAATGCACTTTTCATTGGTGTGACTGAGCACAGCCGAGAGAATACAGATGAACATGATCATTTCAACTCAGTCAGGAGTTGATGATGGTTTGCAAGGTTAACATGAAGCATGTGCAAGTGAAAACTCCACTAGCATGGAAGGTGATGGGCTGATTCTTACTCCACTACTTGTGCTTGGGTGTGTGCATCCATGCAGAGCGCTCTTTACTGACCCGTACCTCCATCTCCTTGAGCACAGGATGGTCCTCAATTCCAGGGAAGAGGACCCTCATGGCGTAGGTGCGATAGTCCAGGAAGGGGATTCCTGCTCCGTCCAGCTCCTGTGTGAGTTCGTGGATGTCTGTCTGCAGTTCTGCAAACGCTGCACACAAAAAGAACAGACTTAAATGTCAGAGCAATAGGGTAAAACTTATCCAACCGCTTACTTTATTTTGACAGTACCTTTAATAATGCAAATAAACCATTTTGTTTTTGTAACTTGCATTGGCACGTTTTTAAGGATTCACATTAAATCATCAAGGCACCTATTTGTCTAGAAAACAGTACCTCCTTAAAAAAAGAACTCTCACAAGCTACAAAAAGGAGTGTACACAAAAATACAATTTAATGTTTAAAAACRTTGGTAACAACACTGAGGCCACGTTTCATCTTAGCTATTCCAATATTTTCAGAACTGTGTTCTTTGAAAACAAGGACAAGTGGATCTAAAAAAGATGGAGACATCTTGGCAGAGTTTTTTTTTTTTAACAGTAATATGCGGCTTCTTAAAACCAACAGGAAAGCGAAAAGTGAAGAAATACTGCAGAGGAAAATGGTCCAAGAGGATGGAGGGGACTTGTTCACACACTACATGCTTCCACCTCACACACACACACACACACACCACCTCTTTGCCTGCTTTGCCCCACAGCTGAACACACAGCCTTGTGCCCAGATGATTTATGTGGAAGCACGTGTCGGTGTTTGTACACATTTTCAACCCTCAGAGTTGGTGTTCTGCACCATTCTGCCAACTTGAATGGTTTCACAACTCTCTTTAACTGAATCTTATTGGTTTCCTTTCACAAAACTCATAAAACAACACAAACGTAACACTTTATGAACTGCTTGAATGTATTTTATAATTAGGGAGCTCCTTAGGGAGAAAAGAAACAGCCTGATTCTATAAATGTGTTTGTGTGTTCGATCTAAAATATAACACATAAACACAGTCCAAACCAATATAAAGACAAAGCCCCGACTAACAGATGGTTGAAGTCATCCCGTCTCCCTCTCTTCTTTTAAAGTGACATCTTAGAAGTCACCTTACTTCCTTTTATCTACCTGCTCTCTGCTAAATCTCTCCATCTTTCTGTCATTAGCCCCTTTAGTTCCATTTTGTCCTTCATGTCTCAGTTTTTCTTTATCTTACTGTTTGTCCCAATTGTTTTCAGTAAATTACCTTTGTGCTAATGTTTTTGTTTGTCTGCAACATTCAGCTCCAGGTAGTTATTTCAGGTCTATATTCATTTATCTCACATATTAAACCTATTTTTTTTCCCATCTAAGTTAGCTTCGATTTGTCCGCCAGTCTCTCTTTGCAACAAAATATTTGCAAAGAATTACCTTCCTCTGTTGTGATTAATCCTCTATTTTCATTTTAAATTTGTTCCCTAATTCTTCTTCCATTTTTCTAATTTTTCCATAATCCTATCAATCTCCTCTGAAATTATTTGCCTTATCTCTCATTCTCTAACTCTGTCCCTCTGTATGCATGTTGTCATTTCTCAGACAGTAGTGACAGTGGGGGACAGACAGGGTCAGGACACGAAGACTTACAACAGCCAATCATATGCTGACCTGCAGTGTGGTTTTCTGTGTGTGTGACTGCAGGTGGGTGTGAGACAGGAAATGAATACAAGTTAGGAGGAGTGGTGTGAAGTTCCCAGATGGGTACAAAGATGCTGATCTCCCCATCTGAGGCTGTCTGACTATCTGCCATGTTAAACAGCAAGAAAATCTCAGACTCATTTCAGAACAAACATTAATCCAATTAAGGATTAAGTTGATGAAAATAATATCAATAGTAAAAAAGATACCGTAAACTGAAGTGTAAAAGATGTCCCCCCCACTCCCAAAAAAAAAACCTGATTCTTACATGCCCACTCAATGCAACTTGACTTCAGACGGTTTGGTCAGAGGTTCAGGTGTGATAGATCAGCRGCAGCCTCGAGCTGCTTCAGTTCAAACACTCACCGTGCTTAACTTTGTGAACTCTTGTGCTTCAAAAGGCTGCATTACAGCTTTCTTCAAACACGAAGAAGTACATTCCAAGTGTTGCAAATACATTTTGGTGTTATATTATTTCTGTACTGACGTGTGAACCTCACATAACAGTTTCTAGCATTTCCTGGATTCTTGAATTCTCTTTTCATCTGGTGGAAACAGGTTTTTACAAACAACAAAAAATAAACCACCAGATGCACAAGAAACACATTTACTAGAACAGCTGGATTCATTTTACACAACTTTAATGAAATGTACTGCTCTGTTGCTGGAAGTCTCTCTGTCATTCTGATCCAATAAACACATTTTCTTACATAATGCGTCAGCTCAGAGCAGATTTAAGGCTAAACTACAGGCTGCTACTAAACCTTTCTAAAAATGTAACAAATGAAGAGATCTCGTTTTCCCATGTATTGTGATGATCATGTTATCAGTATTCTTCTTCTCCATCACCCCATCTGCTTTGCTCCATCTTCTGCCAGCAAACCAGCAACAGCATCAGCAGACTCTCACAGGATCCATGCCATCTCTTCGAAAAATGAGTAATGCTAAAGCACTGGCATGGAAGTTTCACTCCATCTCTCAGAGGGGTACAGATGATGCCAAGCCACTCCTTTACAATCCCTCTCTTTCCCACTCCTGTGCCTCGTCGCCGGCTAACCGCCACCCCCGGACTCTCGGTGTGGATGGTAGAGAGGGCAGCCAGGCTGCGCTCTCCTGGGGTGAAGAGCCAACATCTGGTGGCTGGCTCAGATCAAAGTACTCCTCTGGAAACACACCAACACACACACGCACTCACTGCTGCGACCTAACAGTGGGGGGGACAGGGGACGGGGGGARTGCTGGCATCGACTAGGAGAGAGAAACTGATATGACTATTTAGAGAGTTGAGCAGCTATGGAGGGAAGATACTGTGAGGGATTAAAAAAAGACTTGACTAACAGCATTACAGGAATGGTTTTTGTTGGTTTGAGAGCAGCTACGCTGATAATCACACCACCTCAACACTACTCACCTTCCTTGCACTCCAGGGCCACCCTGGACTCCAGATTGTCCATCTGCAGCTGCAGCCGTTTGAGGGTGCGGTCTGCATCCCGTGACTTCCTTTTATAAGCAATCAGCACCATAATGATGACCAGAAGAAGCAGGCCACCACCACCTCCAATACCAATGATGGCAGGCAGGCTGAGCAGGCTGTCGGAGTAGATCTGCAGTGTCCCCGGGGAATATTCAAAGCCCCCAACACGGACCTGGTAGAGAAACAAACAAACAAAAAAAAGAACTGTTGCACTCTTACAGATAAATGAAAACCTGGATGTGCAGATATTAAAACAGGGCTTGTTGCAGCTATTTTAGAAACCCATTTCCTCTGCATCAAGTAGGAAAAACATGGTGTAATTAATAGAGCTGTCTATTAAACAGATCCAGCATGAAAGTTAACTATTCACAGGCTACTCCTGGCAAGAGGTATGACAAATTTGAAATGCTCATGAAAAAAAAACAAAAAAAACACAAGAACATCAAAGTCTACTTTCACAAAGAACGGGAAGCTTTGTTGGTTGTTGGTTTGCCTGGTTGTGCAAAAAGTGACCCAAACCCTCCCTCACATCAAAACCCTTCTTGGTCACAATGCACATGAATAAAAAATAAACAAATAAAACCTTAAAATACCCCCTGCACCAAACACTGTCTTCTTCTCCTGCCCACTTTCACACTGGCCTACGTCTATGAAATACCAAGAGGAGGAGGGTAAAAATAGAACGACCTCTCATGCCCACAAGCCATTCTTCAGTCTCTATTGAATACCAATACTGTTCAAATGCCAGGAAGGATGCCAGCCAAGCCAGACTGATCAAAAGCCTCTAAGACAAATACAGTCACAAGAACTGCCAATGGCATAAGAGCAAGAGCATCTCTGTGTGTTCATGTGCTTACAGCTGTATGAATAGGGGGAAAATCTAGAGTAATTGAAGATGCTTGGGTTGGACAGAGGGGGGAAGAGAAAATTAGATAAATGAATGAAAAGGAAGGAAGAAGGTATGAATATAAAGCAGGGGCTGTAGGATAAAACAAGCTGGAAATGTAAATGCTTCATTGCTTAAACTAAACCAATATCTAGAGGGATTTTAATATATCGGCTACTGAAAAAAGATGGTTCGAATTTTTAAGTACCCAGGAATTCTTACTAGTCAATAGAGTGTAACAAAAGCAGGGTGGAAAGACATGGAGCGGTAAAGTTTTCCTTACGGTGACTTTGTGTTCTCCGGTCAGGTTGGGCCATTCACACAGCAGCTGACTCTCTGACAGGGTGAGAGCGCAGGGTGTCTCTCCGATCAGGACCGTGTAGTTCAGCTTAGTGTTTCCTGGGGCTGCAGGAATCAGGTAACGTCCCTGGAAACAGACACACAAAGCTGTAACATACAATCAGGTTGATAGATATAAATAAAACAATCACAATAAAAACAGCAAAAAGATTTGTTTAAATTTGGTTTGTGCTATGGATACAAGTCAGATTTTATTTTATTTTATTATAAAATGTGCCAAGACTGGTAGAGTTCTATTGATTCAGCATCAATTCAAGGTCCTGTTGTACAGAAACCAGTCAGTTCCTCTTCTTATTACTTTTCTTTGTTTCCTAACCCACTAAATTTAYCTTAAAAAAGAGGAAATAATTCCTYCAAAATCTAATTGAAGTTTTATTTCTCTATCTAATAGGATGCTGTTTCAGTGCTGCTTATGTCTTAAAGTCTTTACTAGAAGCAGTGTGGGGCAATTGGAGCTTTTCATTATGGCATTATATTTAAAGTTACAGGGAAGAGTGTCGCCATTCTTCATTTTTAAAACTCCACCCTGATTTGCTGTGAAAAAAAGGCTTTGGTTTTCCATGAAATTGCACAATAATTTCCATTCCTCGCTCCTGAAAGGCTTTGAAGTTCAAGGGGTGAGGGGAAATGTCATAAGACAGTGCGGGTGGGGTGGGGGGCAAATGTGCTCTGAATTCAAATGCACACAATCTCTATGGCTCAGAGTCAACACGGCTGTGAAGTCTCTCTTCAGAGGTTTTCCCAGATAAAAATCTGAGCAGGTGCCATAGCAACACACAGCTCACTTTTTAAACATCACTTCCTTTACAGCTGATTTTGAAGAGGAAGTTTTTAAAAACATTCCCCCCCCTTAAAGGTCTTCAACCCCCTTTGGAAGAAGCAGGTGGAGAAATAATATCTTTTGCGGCTGAGCCACATCTGAAGGCAAGCTGAGAGAAAAGGGAGGAAACCGTCAGGAAGAAATATTTTCAAACGCTTGTCACTGTTTTAACATCTGAACTGGACGCTGACTAAGAGGTCACAGCAAGATTTTTTTTTCAAATAGCATTTTATGAGATTAAACCTTGAACATTGTTGACAGTAGTCTGCATTAAAAAGGCATATGCGCTATCTGTTGTGAGTGCCCTTTTTGTGTGTCAACACTTAAATAACCTTTTGTCCTGAAGCCTGAATGTGTGGAGACATTTATGTGTCAGCTGCAGACAGTAATCTCAAATAAAAAGCTTTTATGATAAACCACCATAAACTCAGCCCATACAATCAATCAGCTCTTTCACTTTCCAGGAGAAAAGTGGGACGAGGGGGAAAAAAAAAACAGACTGCAGAACCAGTGACGAGAAAAGAGGACAAATCAAAAGCTAAACGATTTTTTGCTTAATCAGGGTTCCTACAGTTTAAGGAAGATTAAACTTAAGACTTTTTACGACTTGCCAAGCCAAATTAAATTTAAGACCAATTTCATAATAAACAAAAACGACAAAAAAATAAAAACTGTGGCAGAAACTCATTAACCAAAGTATTTTTGGTTGAAGTATTAAAATAATGCTAACTGACTAATTGTTTATATACCTAACTTTAGCAGAAACATTC